TGCCCGCAGCATCGCCCCGCCACCGGGCAGGGCCGCTGCCCCTCCCGCTGGAAGAACGAGCGTCCCCGGCCGGCTCCGCGCTGTTAACTGGCAATAAAAGCGAAATAGTTCGTTGTTGTTTTAAAAATTTCTCATGCTGTCCAGGAGATAAGACATCAAGGCTTCCTGAGGATGTGCTCTCAGGCCATTGGGGCAGCTGCCCGGGGTTTATCATCATAGACTTCATGGAGACATCTCTGTTTTCCACTTGCAAAAGGTATTTCAGGCTCACAACAACAATAAGTATTTTTGACAAAAGCTCCTCGCCCTTCCAAGGTAAATACTGTTCTCCCCGAATCTGCCATCACGTACAATGCACTCCCCAGCCAGCGCAACCTCGACGTGTTTAAGACGTTAAGCAGAGCCGTGCCTAAGCACCAGATTTACACACCCCGGCTGCGTGCACCTAAGCGGGACTCCCGAGCAGAGCCCAGCAAGGACCAACCAGTTCGACATCTGCACCCCGGCCTGCTTAAGTAATGCGAGCGGGCACCTCCCTCCCTTTTCGTAACAGCCCGAGAGCATCATGACTACACGTTACCAACTCAAGCTTATTTCTGACAATGCACTTGCCTAAATAACATGTTCACTCACTCAATTAAGTTACAAACGAAGTGTCTGATCTTGTAATGAGCTCCACGTGGCCCGGGGTATCCATCCACAGGCAGCTCTCCGAGATTGGAACTAGAACTGCTTGAATTTTTCCCATCAAAACATTTTTTCCAAATGAGAAATAGCTTTTCAGCTAAAATGAAAATTGGTTGAAATCTTCTGTTTTTTTCAGCAAAACTCAATAAACTGAAAGGCTATTTTTTGAGTTAAAGTAGTTCTGTTGGGGTTTGTTGGTGGTGGTTTTTTTTTCCTTTTCCCCTAAGAACTGGCTTTTAGTAAACGGATTCTGTTTGTGAACATCAAAAATCGCTTTTATAAGTGAAGAGTGATTTTTTTTTTGTTTTACTTTTTCCTCAACAAAGGCAAACTCAGGGAGCAAAACCACAAATAAAGAAAGATATTGAAGAAAGTGTAGAGAACATTCTTTCTCTTCCCTCTCCCCTTGAAAATTTCCTGTAAAGGAAAAAATAAATGTCTTTCAACTCACTCACAGAACAATAGGGCCCCACTCTCGCTGTCTTCAGTCAGGCAGCTCTTGAATTAGTGTCCTCTTATGGGACCAGGAGGATGTAATTAATTCAGCTGGCCTGATACAATACCATCCTGGGCTGCAATTTCCCGTTTTACCTATCACCGTCTCTGTCTCCTAGAAATGTGTGGGATTG